GCCCAAAACATAATACTTAATAGTAATCTTCAGTTTGGGCCAAGTTATAGCAGCGCTGTTTATTTTTCCGAATGATTTTGAACTTTGATTCTATCCCTTAGTGGGACATTTTAGTCCTCTTTCCACCTTTGCATACTGCATAATATATAATATGACCGTACCTCCATGACCTGAAAAAAAGAGAGAAGACATGTAGCTCTTTCCTCAACTCTCCCTTTCATGTTCCCACACCTGGGTACAGTGCTTCATCGCCTTGCATCACCACATCAAATACCAGCTCCCAGCCAAACTCACATAGACTTCAGCCCTGAGGGGGTGACTGACTCAGCCATAGAGCACATCTGCCCTCTTGTTTTTATTACCATTCCCATCTATCCCTGCCCCCTGTCGCTCATCTGTCATCACCTGGCATTCAAGACGCAAGACGCCATGACAGAGTTTTTACCGTAAAAGGGTGGAGATCAACTGTTTCTTCATACCAGAGAGCATTCATGTACAGCCAATGGCTGGAGTGAGGTTACTGATGTGCCAGCAGGGGACATGACCTTGGAGGTAAATCACTGTGGAAAGGCGTCATCTCAAACTTGTCATTCTTTCCTTTCTGGACTGGACATCTGTTGACAATCATAAGCTGACTGACTGCTTGTAAAAGTGATGCTTTGTTGAAACTACATACCGTAGTTTAAGGACAGAGCCTTCAGGTATAAAAACATTCCTTCTAATAGTCAGCAGAGTCCAACTCCTCCAGTAGACGTCTATGAGAAAATAACCCCACATCAGTAAACTCTTTTCTGATGGGTTTACAGTCTCATTTACTAATTTCAAATCTTATAAAGCATTATGTTTATTTTATAAATTAGAGTCTCAGTTAAGATGAATTTGATTTAGGTTAAATGTACAGAAATTTCAGGGAGCAAGATACACCAGTTACTTTTGCTAGGTACGCAAGTACCAAACTCAAACCCAATTTTCCTTCAGAACTGCCAGAGATTCAACAAGGTGCTGGAAACATTTTGCAGATTTTAATCCATACTGACACTATATGACAGCTTCACTTATTCTCTGCAGCTTTCTCAGCTGCATGTCCATGATGTGAATCTCCTGTTCCATCACATCTGAAAGGTGCTCCGTTGGATTGAAATCTGGTGTTTCTGTAGTACAGTCCTTGTCAAACGCTCAGGTAGACTGTGGCATTTAAACAATGCTGATAGTAAGTTTGTCAAGAAAATATCCCCCAAACCTTAAACTACCAACAACCTCTCAACTACATTTGTGCTGTTGGTGCCTTTTCAAGCATTTTTTTTAAAGTCATGTGACAAATAGTCTATCTTTTAGCTGTATGGCTAATTGTAGCCTACTAACAGACTGTTCAAGAACTTGATCTACTTTTTGGTTGTTTGTTTGTTTGTTTGTTTTAGGGGTTTTTGAGGAAATTTCTAGTGGTTTATTTGTTAACCAAGCCAATTAGGATTAGTGTTATTTATCACTTTATGCTCCACCATTTTGACCAAACATAGTCACTTTTCGTTCCAAATAATCAACATGGCTTTGGATAAAATGCTAACACCGAAGCTTTAAAATGTAGAACCCATTGACTAGATCCTTATTATACACAGTCTAAAGTTATAAATAATCTACTCTATTATCAATGTTACAGTGGGCAAAATGGATGCTTAAAA